CCACCACCCATCTGGTTTCCTGTGGTTTCCCTTTCACCATGCTGCGATTGGAACCTGTGGGCGAGGGTGAAGGGGAGGGACAAGAGATGATCAGTGCACCTCATAGCAAATGGGTCGAGCAGTCATTCCAGTTGTTATGGTCACTGGGCTTTTATTATATATTATAGGATAATAATGCTAATATATTTTTAAAATTGATTTATTTTTCACATTTTAAATCTTTATTGTTGAAAGTATTACATATATTTCCCCTTTCTCCCCCATTGACCCCTTCTAGTTCACCCCCACACCCTACCCCAGGTACTAATACATTTTATTTAAGTAAAACATCTAAGTGTTTAAATTACCTATCATACTTGAGCAAAAATAATTTAAAAAAAAATAATTATAGTTATCTTGGTAGATAATCAGCTAATTAGTGGTAAATTAGATTCAATAAATCTACACACTCAAAGTTTTAATGAGTTTTCATAGCATTGTCAATTTTTTAATGTATAAGTTAAAAAATTATTTTCCTTTCCAGAGTATTGAGTTTTTAAAAATATTATTAATATTTTTGTTTTGTTTATATATTTAAATTTGTGAATTCTGCAAATTGTCCTACTGTCTAGTATGTGATTGAGATTGCGATGTTTTCTATTTTTAGATATTTCCATGTGAAACATTTAGAGAATACTGCACATCTTTCAAGCAATCAATGACCTTATATTTTGCCAAAATCAAATGATATTCAATACTGATACTATGGAGAGAGGAATCAAAATAGGCACCTAATTATAATTACTTGCCCCCCTCCCCCCCTCATTATATCACTATGTGCAGAACAACTGATTTTTAAGAGATCGTACAACTGCTGGATTTTGGCAGGTACTAAAGGTTTTTTTTTTTCTTCTTTTTTTTTTCTTTGCTTCCCTCTCCCTCCCCCTTCCTGCTTTCATCACATGTAGGATTTATTGGAATAGTTCAGACTGACCTCTTTCTTGAAAGATTTAGTTTGAATTTTAATAGTTTATAGGAAATAGTAGAAGTGAAAGGAAAGTTAATATGTTTATGATTACTTCATATTTTCAGTAATCCTTAACTTTTATGGTGCAGTTTAGTTGTTAAGAGAGTAAGGATAGTTTTAGGTAATTTTGGGGAAATGACTATAAAATTTGGACCAACTACTATGCAATTAGCTTCCAGAGTTACTGCTTTTGGAATAAAATCAACTGTGAACAATATGAAGGCAGAGACTATATCTTCTTAACTATTCTGACCTAGTACCCAAAACTGTGCCTCACACATAGATAGAAGTTATTGAAATAGCAAAGGAAGATAGGATGGGAGGGAAGAAGGAGGAGTCAACATTCTAACTTGATTGGACAAAGTGATAAATTCCATGTTATCCTGCTGTTTTTTGTTTGTTTGTTTGTTTTTTTAAGCTGATATATTGATCTCCTAGGCCAATAATAGGATTTTTAACAGAGCATGAACATAGTATGACTTTGAGAACCTTTCAATATATTTTTTATTGATTTTAGAGAGAGTGAGTTCCCCGGTCTTTCTCCCCTCTGACAGCTGTCAGTTTATTCCATGTTGAAAGTGTCCCTATTTCTATTTTGTTCCCTAGTTTATCTTATTATTAGATTCTACATATGAAAGAGATCATATGGTATTTGTCTTTCTCTGACTGGCTTATTTTACTTAGCATAATAGTTTCCAGGTCCATCCTTGCTGTCACAAAAGGTAAAAGTGCCCCTTCTCTCCCACCCCCACAGCTGAATAGTATTCCATTGGGTCAATGTACCATAGCTTTTTTATCCACTCATTTACTGGTGGGAACTTGGGCTGTTTCCAGAGTTTGGCTATGTAAATGATGCTGCAGTGAACATAGAGATGTATATATCTTTGTTCTTTTTTCTCAAGATTGATAAGACTATTTGGGGCTTTTTTTGGCCCCATGTAAATTTTTGAAATATTTGTTCTAGATGTATGAAATATGCCATTGGTATTTTAATAGAAATTGCATTGAATCTATAGATTGCTTGGGGTAGTATGGACATTTTAATTATGTTAATTCTTCCACCATATATGTGAGGCACATTTTTAAATAGCTGTTTCAACATTTTTGTAATGAAAGTTGAACATATTTTTATGTGCATTTGGCCATTTGTATATATTCTTTGGGAAATATCTATTCAAATCTTTTGCTAATTATAAAATTGGTTTGCCTTTTCATTCTTGTTAGAGCTCTTTATGTATTGTGGGTACCAAGACCTTATTAGATATATGATTTGATAATATTTTTCCCTTTTGTAAGTTTTGCTTTCTTGATAGTATCCTTTGCTACACAAATATTTTAGTTTTGATTAAGTCCAATGTATCTATTTTCTTGTTTGTTATTTTGGTGTCATATTTAAATAACTATTGCTAAATCCAAAGCCATGAAGATTTAACCCTAGTTTTCCTGTAAGGGTTTTATAGTTCAGTTCTTACACCTAAGTGTTTGGTCTATTTTGAGTTAAAATTTTTTGTATATAGTGTGTGGAAGTATATTTTATAGATGAATATCCACTTTTCATGGCAATATTCTTTACCTATCGAGTGGCCTTGGCATCTTTGCTGATCACCAGTTGACTATAGATGCATAAGTTCACTTCTAGGCTCTCATTTTCTATTTCATTTGTTTATATGTCTGTCCTTATGCCAGTACCACACTGTTGTGATTACTTAACTTTGTAGTAAACCTTGACATTAAAAATTGTGAGTCCTCCAATTTAGTTATTATTTTTCAAGATTGTTTTGGATATTCAGGGTTCCATTGAAGTTTTATATGAATTTTAAGACCCACTTTTCCATTTCTGCAAAAAGAACCATTGGATTTGAATAGGGATTGTATTTTATCTGTATATTTATTTGGGGAGCATTGCAGTCTTAACAATATTAAATCTTATAATCTATGAATACAATATATCTTTTTATTTGTTTAGGTCTTCTTTAATATTTTCCAGTAATCTTTTATAAATCTTATAATTACTGTTTTATTCTTTTAAATAATATAGTGAGGTGCCTGGCACACAAAGTTACTTCGAATCAGTCAAGTGAGTCTTACTTTTAAGCTTTTTTAGTGAGGCAGTATGTATTAAGAATAATAATGAGAACTTTTTGCTGACTCTTCTCAATGTACATGTGTCATGAGTCCTTTTTACAATATGATAAAAATTTGTACATTTTATTGGATATATATTTTTAAGCTTTATTTTTGAAAGTCTTACAAATTTTTCCCTTTTTCCCCTGTTGATTCCCTCCACTCCACTCCTGCCTGATTTATCTTATGTGCTATGTTGCTTTATTAATTGTGTCTAATGTAGAGTTAAAAATTTAGTATGATGGACAAATCATTGTTTTAAATGTCCAATTATTGATCCTGAATGGATTCATTTTATTTTTAAATATATATTTTTAATTGATTTTAGAAAAGGAAGGGAGAGAGAGGAAGAGATAGAAACTTCAGTGATTAGAAATGATAATTGATTGGCAGCCTCCTGCACTCCATCTCCTCCCGGGGATCGAGCCTGAAACTAGGACCTGTGCCCTGACCAGGAATCAAACCACGACCTTCTGATTCGTAGGTCAAGGTTCAACCACTTAACTACACTATCTAAGGTGAATTGATTCATTTTAAAATCCCTAATTATGTGGCCCTGGCCGGTGGCTCAATGGCTTAGAGTATCATTTTGTACACCGAAAGGTTGCGGGTTTGATTTCCAGCCAGGGCACATACCTAAGTTGAGGGTGTTTCTCTCTCCCTCTTCCTCTTCTCTCTCTCTCTCTCTCTCTCTCTCTCTCTCTCTCTCTCTCTCTCTCTCTCTCTCTCTCTCTCTCTCTCTCTCTCTCTCTCTCTCTCTCTCTCTCTCTCTCTCTCTCTCTCATCAATAAAAACATATCCTCAGGTGAGATTTAAAAATAAAAAGTAAAATTCCTAATTATGTGTTTACCTGAAACTATGTGCTTTTGATCTGTACATTATTATATTATATTAACATAGACAAGAGAAGAACATAGGCTAAAAACATGTAGTGCCATTGGTTTTTAAAAACTAATCATAATTCAAAATTATCTTTGAAACTTCATTTTTATTTTAGTGTGAAGCTTTTCTTGATATATTGTAGGAAGAATATGTTTATTTTAAAAAGTGACATTTGAACAAATTTGTTTTCACCAAATGATATAATACTATTATTATTTCCCTTTTATATCTCTTTCCTGCTTAAATATATACCCTAATATAAAATAAAATCTTAGAGATATTAATTTCTGTAGTGAAGTAAAATATTTCATGATTTCAATGAGGGTATGCTATCTTTAAAATCTTTTTTTACTTTATTTACTAGAGGCCCAGCGCATGAAATTTGTGCACTGGAGCTGGGGGGTCCCTCAGCCCAGCCTGCACCCTCTTGTAGTCCAGGAGCCCTTGGGGGATGCCTGATTGACAGCTTAGGCCTGCTCCCCAAGGGGAATGGGCCTAAGCCGGCATTTAGACATCCTTAGTGCTGTCATGGAGGCAGGAGAGGCTCCCACCACCACCACTGAGCTCACTAGCAATAAGCCTGGCTTCCAGCTGAGTGGCACTTCCCCAGTGGTAGTGGGCTGACCACTAGCTCCTGTGTTGAGTGGGATTGGGCTTGAAACTGGCTTTCCGACATCCCCTGAGCAGTCCCAGATTGCAAGAGGGCACAGACTAGAGAGGGACACAGGAATTTGGCCAGCCAGGGAGGTACCACAGAAGGGCTCAGAGCATGCCTGGCCCATCTTGCTCAGTCCTGATAGACTGGACCCCAGCAGCAAGCTAATCTACTGGTTGGAGCATTTGACCCCTGGTGGTCAGTGCATGTCATAGTGAGCAGTTGAGTGGCCTTAGCATATCATTAGTATATTATGCATTAATTGGTTGAATGGATGACCAAACAAATTAGACACTTAGCATATTAGGCTTTTATTATATAGGATTATTCATTTTTTTTTTGGAATGCTTCACAAATTTGTGTGTCATCCTTGCTCAGGGGCCATGCTAATCTTCTCTGTATCATTCCAATTTTAGTATGTGTGCTGTGAAAATGAGCAAAAAATCTTTTTTCCTTTAAATATCTTTATCTGAGGATGAAAATATAGCAACCATTGCTGGAAAGCAGTAATGGGGAGTTCATAGGTGACTTTTAAGCATGTTTTTCATTTTTCACTTCTTCAGAATTCAAATATCAGAATGACTTCAAATCTTAAGATACAAGAGTTTGATGCATTATAGAATTGTACCTCTGAAACCTATATAATTTTATTAACCAATATCACCCCAATAAGTTAAATAAAAATAATTTTAAAAAGGAGAGCATATACATTTCTAAAAGTCAAAAGAAAAAGAAAAGAGTTTGTTGGTCTTAATCCTCTTCATTGAGCATTCTATTAATCTTCTATCTTACCTAAGTTTTAGGAATATACAGTTTCTCAGCCATCATAGTCACATAGCATCTTACTCAATCTCATGGATTAAATTAGTCTACAAATTTATAGATATATTTATTTAATTTTAAATATTATGTTTCCAAGGTACTGACATTATATACTTTTAATTTATATTGAACATTTTAATGATCTTTTTCATGAAAGAATATAATCAATGTGCTAAGTGTTATGTTTTAAACTGATGAAGATATGTAATTTTGTGTCTAAGTATTTTTTGATAATATGGGCATCAATATTAAATGAAATTTTATCTCAGTGATTTCATTTCCTTGAACATTTTTACCAGAAATATGTATTGTACTTGTATTATGCTGAACATGGTGAAATGTTCTCTTTTCCTTGTTTTGTCCTTATTGCAGCAAACACCAAAAGCTTCAAAGTTTAATTTAAACTGAAATGTTTCTTCATAGAATAAACAGAATATCTCAACTGTGAAGGATGATTACACTTCCTGAATTTACTCTAAGACCTTCATAATTTACAACTCATAGCATTGTGTGCCTGAGGCCAAAAACATAGGCATTTCATGTTATAAAAGGGAGGGCATTATTATTTTAATTTTATTTATTGATTGATTTTAAATCTTTATTATTGAAAGTATTTTTATCCCCATTTACCTCTTCTAGCCTGCCCCTATCCTCCGCCCCAGGCCTTCACTACACTATTGTCTGTGTCAATGGTTTATGCATATATATCCATTCAAATTCTTTGTTTGATCTCGTCCCACCCACCCACCCAGCCCCACCTTCCCTCTGAAATTCAACAGTCTGTTCCATGCTTCCATGACTCTGAATCTATTTTGTTCCTCAGTTTATTTTGTTCATTAGATTTCACATGTGAATGAAATCATGTGATACTTGTCTTTCCTGACTGGCTTATTTCACTTAGCATAATACTCTTTAGGTGCCTCCATGATGTCTCCAAGGGTAAGAGATCCTTCTTTTTTTACTGTTGAAAAGTATCCATGGGGTTGTTTATCCACAGCTTATTTATCCACTCATCTACTGATAGACAGCTTATTTATGTACCACAGCTTATTTATCCACTCATCTACTGATAGACACTTGGCTATTTCTAGATCCTAGTTATTGTAAGTTGCGCTGCTAAGAACATAGGGTACATATATATATATTTTTTTTATTGGTGTTTCAGGTTTCTTAGGATCACTGGGTCAAATGGCAGTCTCATATTTAATTTTTTGAGGAAACTCTGTACTGATTTCCATAGTGGCTGCACTAGTCTGCTTTCCCACCTGCAGTGTTTTAGGGTTCCCTTTTCTCCACATCCTTGCCAGAACTTGTCATTTGTTTGTTTGTAGCCATTCTGACAGGTGTGAGGTGATACCTCATTGTCGTTTTAATTTGTGTCTTTCTGATGATTTGTGACTGAGTATTTTTTCATATGTCTCTGTATGTCTATTTTGGAGAAGTGTCTATTTAAGTTCTTTGGAGAGGGCATTATTGTTAAGTTTTTAATGCTCATCTGATAATATTTTTTATTTATTTAATTTTATTTTTAAAAATTTGTTTTATTGTTGAGAGTATTACAGATGTCCCCCATAACTCCCCCTTTGCCCTCGACCCATCTCCTTCTGGGGATCAAACCTGCAGCCTTTTTGTTGCATAGGATGATGCCTAAACAACTGAACTACCCAGTTGGGCAAGAGAGGACATTTAACTCTACCTTTGTTTTGTTGAGACTTCATTTTATTTGGACTTATATATTAAGATATATTATCTTTTTATAAAGTAATTAATTATACCTGTTTTTATAAAGTAATTTTACTGTTACTCTGGAATATATATTGTTATTTAAAAAATTTGAATTATGGCCGAGACGGGTTTGGCTCAATGGATAGAGCGTCAGCTTGGGGACTGAAGGGTCCCAGGTTCGATTCCGGTCAAGAGCATGTACCTTAGTTGCGGGCATATCCCCAATAGGGGGTGTGCAAGAGGCAGCTGATCGATGACTCTCTCTCATCGATGTTTCTAACTCTCTATCTCTCTCCCTTCCTCTCTGTACAAAATCAATAAAATAAAATAAAAATTAAAAAATTTGAACTATGATAAAATGAATATGTTCTAAATAAGACTCAGTAAGTAATTGAGATTTGCTAAGGAGACCATAGGAACCCACAGTTTTCTTTCATTATGAAGTGACCTAGATTACTAGTAGATGTGACTACATTAGGCACCAGGATTGAACGATTTTTACAGAACTGAGTAAACTGTTCTGGTTTCGAATAATTGACTTTAGAGCCCAGTGCAGATGAGATACAGGTCATGGTATAACTGGACAATCAATGAATCTGGGCTGCCTTTTACTACTTGTGCCAATTAAGCAAAGACAGGATTGAATCATATATGAGTGTTTATTCCAATACTTCCAGCAGTATGGGAGAGCAGCAGGTCATCCACAAAAATCTGCTCTGTAGCCCCGCTGAACCAGCCAGTTTGATAGGGCAAAGATTACTTGGGAAGTAGGGATACAGTAATGGGGAAGTAGGCAATGCCAGCTCTGGTGGGACTCCATTGTTTGGGCAACATGGTTGTTAATCTTTCCATGATAATAGGCAGATCCTGAATGAGAGTGGACCACATCCCAAGGTTGAGGCCCAGTTCCAACATTGACTCCCAGGTCCAAAGTTGAATCCTAGGTCAAGGGGACATACAACTCCCAGCAGGTTAGAATGTCCATTTTTAAACAACATAAGACAATCATGGTTAACAGAGCATGATTAATATTTCCTACAACCATAGCTAGTCCTCAGTATTCTATTTTTGTCCATAACAATGGGATTATGAGCCAGTTAGTTAGCTTTGCTTTATTATTATTATTATTAATCACATTTTGGATAAAATAAAAATTGGATAAATAATCCCTTTCCTGAATAGAGTTGTGTTAACAGAGTTCCTGAGGGATTAGTTCACTTATCATTTAAAAAAAAATTAATTTGAAGAGAAAGCATACAAGGAAATCTGTTGTTTCCTTGGAATAGGAAGCCATTCCAAGTCTTTTTAGGTTGTAAAATGCTAAATTATCCTTCCCTGTCTGCATCTTCAGTGGTTTATGTCGAAGCTTTTGAGGCACAGTTTAGAGAATGAGTTTTGAATTCAGAAGACTTGGATTTATGTCCAGATTCCCACCCTTAATAGCTATGTGACTGTAAACTTTATATTCTTCATTAAAAAAATAGAACAGAATATTTATTCCATAGGGTTGAGCTATGTATGTTAAATTAGCTATCACATGAGTGGAAAACCTGACGCGTAGTAGAACTCAATAAATGCAGATTGATTGAGATTATATGGCCATCTCAAATCCTCCTTTCAGGTTTTTTAAAGAGTGTCCAAGTATATTGTTTTCTTAGATGCAAACATTCTTATTATTGATATGTTTATATCTTTGTTGTTTTTATATTTGAAGGATAACTGGGTGTAAAATTATTGGGTCACACTTACTTTCAGGATTCTAGAGTTTTGCTCTACTTTTTCCCCAGGCATTTAATGTTGGTGAGGCAAGGGCAGAGGTCAGCAATAACCCCTTCCATTTCCAAGTTTGCAGGTAATTAATTTTTTACTTGTAAACTTTTAAATTATAAAGTATATCACGATATATTTTAGCATTAATATTTACATTTTACCTTTTCTTGGGGACATGAACTACTTTATTTTTTTTTAAAAAAGATTTCACTTTTTTTCTTGAATTGTCACAATACTTAGAATGATCTTTTTATTTTATTTATTTTATTTTTATATTAATCTTTGTCTGAGGATAATTTTCCATTGATTTTTAGGGAGAGTGGAAGAGAGAGGGAATGACAGAGAGAAACATCGATGTGAGAGAAACACTTCAGTTGGTTGCCTCTTGCTTCGGTTGCTTCCTGCATTGGTTGCCTTCTGCATACCCCAACCAGGGCCCAGGCCTTGCATAAGCCTGCAACCATAGTATGTGACTTTGACTGGAATGGAACCCAGGACCCTTTGGTCCAAAGGCCAACACTCTATCCACTGAGCCAAACCAGCTAAGGCATGGATTACTTTCTTGTGTTATATATAAGTAATTTTTTGTGGAGGTTCATTAAAAATTTTTTCTTCTTCAGAATCAGTAATTATAAATATTGTATCTGCATTGTTTTCCTAATTATCAGTTTTATACCCAATATTTTCTGTACATTTTTGCCATTTCTTTTTAAGTGATTTCCTCTATCCTCCCTTTATGCCCTAGTTTCAGTTGTTAACACCACATTTTTTTTTTCTACATCTAATGAGAGTTTTATCTTTGTACTGGCTTGATTTTCCTTCTTCCCTTTCTTTCCTGAGTCTGCCAGCTCACTTTTCAACTACTGTTGTCTTATCTCTTCTCTGATCTCTTTATCTTTTCTTTGAGTTCTTTTTTTCCTCCCTCACAGAGATCATGTTATATTTATTTGAGACTGAGGCGAAATAATTGTCTAAATTCTTCCTTTGTTTCCTTGAGCAAGGGAGGAAATTATTATTCATTTAATGTGTGATCTGTGTCTTTAATATCTCATTTTCCATTATGTATTTATATAGTTCCTGTGCTAATTCCTTTCTTACTGCTTATCTTCAGATGGGGGCATAT